CCATTCAATCTTTATTGTTAGATTAAATGGTGTCCGTCTACTTAGAAAAAGACAATGGAAATGAATAAAACTTTGATTCATAATGTTCTTCTGCTATGAAGTGCTTATTCCTAGGTTAAGTATTGTTCGTCTACTTAAAAAGAAGATAATAAAAATGAATGAAATCTTCGTCAATGGCATTCTATTGCCATGGAATGTTTATCCTACGATAGAATATTGTCTGTCTAAGAAGAAAAAGATAATGAACATGAATGAAATCTTCGTTAACGGTGTTCATTTGCTACGGAATTTTTATGCTAAGGTTAAATATTGTCCGTTTACTAAGAAAAAGATAATAAAAATGAATGAAATCTTGGTTAACAGTGTTCTTTTGCCATGGAAGGTTTATTCCTAGCTCAAATATGATCTGTCTACTTAGAAATAGATGAAAGCATTGAATAGAATCTTATTTGACAATATTCATATGCTACGTGATCTCTGATGGTAATATGACATGACTATAGCAATTATATCTTTGCTTTCAAACGATAGTAGTATAAGAATAGAACTTTGATAGCTTGAGTCATATACCCAAAGTCTTTACAGTACCTGTTGATATCAAAGCTTTGATCAGGTAGGCATGAAACAAGTGAATAAAATCTTCGTACATATAGTTCTTTTACTATATGACTTATAATGAAATTATAAAGATAATATATCAGCGTACAACAATTTGAAATACATCAATGATACTTTGATTCACGCTTTTCATGTTTTCTGTGATGTTCAATAATATTATTAAGAGTAGATCTTCTATTTGAAGAGAGTAACATAACAGAATAAAGTCTTGTTTATCAGTGTTCAAATACTATCTTGTCACCATTATCAATGGGAACACCTAATTGTTGCACTCAAGGCAACATGAGAAATAAATTAAATTTTCTTTCCTATTATTCATTTACCATCTAAAATAGAATTAATTCATAATTTTCATATTTTTTTGCACCAATGAATCATATATTGGCATTGTGCTGTGACGAATAAACTGGTATATCATAAAATATCTAGTATATTGATATCCTCAGAAATAAAAATGTATGAACAGTTGAATGTAATATTTTACTGGATAAAGATTCAATAAGCGTATGATTTTTCATTTCCGTTTTTTAAAATTGTATTTGGATAACTAACTAGTTCTTCTATATAATCATCTATTTTTGTACTTGTTTACTATCAACTTAAGTTAGTCATATGTTTTATATTTTCAGGAATCATCGACTAGAGCAAATATTCGCATCAATTCAACGTCGACAAAGGACTACATCGAACAATATTTCTTTTTTCATTTTTACCATGTAGTTAGAAATCGCATTCATTTTTTAGTTTAATAAACTTAGTATAATAAAAAAACAAAAGAATGTTTTAATCGGCTTGAGAAGATGCTAGCTATTGCACAAATTCGAAGTCAACCCAAGCAGTCAGAAAAGTTAAATTGACGCGTTATAACGACCGTTTTGGGTTTTATCTTGTAACGCATTTTATCGGGTCAAAAATGTCCGAATTTTGGCGTTTTAACAATCGCATTTTCGAGATCAACGGTTTAAAACGCGTAAAATCGGACATTTTTGACTGTGTAAAATGCGTTACAAGATAAAACGCAAAACGCCCGTTATAACGCGTCAATTTAACTTTTTCTGACTGCTTGGGATATTACAAACAATATTAAAATACAGTATTTACTAATAAATAAGAGATACCAGGTAACATCGGTTAGAAGAAAGTCGGAAGTCAAAGAGCATATAATAGTAGTATAGTTTCATTTCTTTTCAGAGAATAGATTAATGGTCATGTAAATGTCAATAATCGAGTGATAGCTTTCTAGCAATTTCTTTTTGTTTTATTTTATCTTCCAAATAATAAAAAAAATTTACAAAACCAACTCAAGTGTTAATGATCTCATGCATTCTAAATTTAAATTGTCGGATCTTGCTTATTCACTAGAAGATTTTTTCACTATTTGGATGATAAAGTAACATATTAAATTTCGCTAGAAGACTATTGCTCGATTATTTACAATTACATAGCCATGAATCTAATCTCTGAAAAGAAATGAAACTGCACTACTGTTGTATGCTCTTTAACTCCTGACTTTCTTCGAATCGATGCTACTTGGTATCTCTTATTTACTAGTAAATCCTGAATTTTTATATTGCCTGTAATATGAAGATATGTGAGTTATATCTATTCTTTTCTAGTCTTAGCCATAGTTCTTACTCATTGGATCTATTTAAAAAGTTTTTCGAAACTAAATAATGAAGAAGAAAAAATGAAGCGCACGTCATACACTATTTTTCTCTATAAGCACTATTCACCTAAATATATAGTACAATGAATCAAGTACATAATATAGAAGTTTCTTTTTTTGTTACTCAAAATATATTTGGTAATGTCTTTTCATATTTAGAAAGTATATGTTGTGGTCAAAATCAAAATTTTAATTTTGAATGAACAAAATTAATATTCTCTTTTAATGAAAAGTAAAAGGTAAAATTTCGATAACGAAATGTATGGATGTGGGTGAGGGTTAGAACTAGAGACCTGCACGGAGTCAGTTTCGGAGTCGTGGTCGGAGTCGAATAAAACTGTTGCGAATAATTCATTTTTAACATTAAACTTTTTTGGAGTTGTAGGTTTTGTTCTCTGATCTTTTCTCTACAAACTGATATATTTTCAAGATCCAATTGACATCTTATCGAGGCCTACGAATCAAAAAGAAAGTCGGAGTCAACCTTGACTCCGATTTTTCTTGACTCCGACTTTCTTTTTGATTCGTAGGCGTCGATAAGATGTCAATTGGATCTTGAAAATACATTAGTTTGTAGAGAAAAGATCAGAGAACAAAACCTACAACTCCAAAAAAAGTTTAATGTTAAAAATGAATTATTCGCAACAGTTTTATTCGACTCCGACCACGACTCCGAAACTGACTCCGTGCAGGTCTCTAGTTAGAACCCGTCGGGTAGGACCCGGACCCGCACGGGTCCGGGTCCTGGTCCGGGTCTGAAAATTTTCCTTTGACGGGGTCCGGGTCCGGGTCGGGTCCAGGTCTGAAGGAAACTTTGATCCATACAATTTATTTTGAGTTTTTTAAAAGTTTTGTTCGTTTTATACAAAGAAATCAAATGTATTTAGAAAATAGATAAAAAACAACAAAACCCTTCTTGACTATACTATCTAAACTGACTTGTCATTGTGTTTGGATCCAAAAAATTTAAGCGACCGGGTCCGGGTCCGGGCCCAAAAATCGTGGACCAGGATCCGGGTCCGGATCCGGGTCCAAAAATTTTGGACCCGACGGGGTCTAGTGAGGGTGCTTGGTTTTGAAGCGTGTGGGTGTAGGTAAGTATGGAAGGAGCAAGGCTCTAGGATTGCCATTTTGCTATTAATTTATATAAATTTAAATCATCGATAATCAAGTTTAAAATAAATTTTGCTTTAGACAATTTAAATTTATTTTTAAATTTTAAATTAAAATCTGTTTACACAAGAATAAACCCGTTTTAACGGGTTCAATGTTTTGATTCATCATATCAATGAGTTATAATGCGTTTTTTTTTTCATTTTTCTGTCTAAACGCGTTGAAACACCGTTTTTCCCGTTGTCTCTTTTAACATCTCATGTAAGCACTTTAGAGTGTTACAATAAAACGAAAAAACAAACAACAAATTGATAATGTAGGAAAAAAACGTTTGTATTCATTTTTATTTTGATTATATCGACATTTTTAAATTTTTTTCATGACTTTGATTATCGTTCGATACGAATTTTATTGTCTTTAACTCATTTGATTCATTATGTTCATCAATTGTAATATTTTCAAATGTTAATTCTTGATGTTTTTGTTCATTTTGACGTCGTTCAACATTGTTCCGAAAACGTTTTAAGCTTAAACGACTTAAATAAAGTTCACGTTGTCGTTGTATTGTTGTTGATATTGGATGATAATCTTTAGGCCGATCTTTTTTTATATCAATTGGTGCATCAGTTTCATTACTTGCTATCTCTGTATCAAGTGTACCAAGGAAATATTTTGTAAGAGCATCAAGTATATCAACACAATGCATACGATCATTTTCACAGATTGGTAAATTCATACGAACAAGTATTAAATGATTTGGTTTAGGAATACGTAATGGTAGTTCAAGATCATCAATAAAATCTGATAATTGATCATATTGTATAAATTGTGAACCTGATGGATCAAATCGTTGCCATTTTTCATAATACATATCATAATCATCATCGGTTAAACCCTAAAGAAAATCAAAAAGAAATTTTTTCTTTTAATATTTATATTCCTTTCATTTATTACTTACTTGTTCTACATCTTCTTGTGCTTGATTAAAATTATCTAATATTACTGCAATATATATATATATATACCTAAATTAATAATAGGAAAATTCGAAGCGATCACAAAAATATATATATTTATATTCTTACCATAACAAGAGAAGTAATTATAACATAACTCACAAGAAATGGTGTTGCAATGGCTGCATTACCACAATCACCTTTATGTGATGGTGTATTTAAAGTTGGATCACAATCTGGTGGATGATCATTTGTTAATGCTTGAAAAACACCAGACCAACCAGCAGTCGTACACATTTGAAAAAGTACAATCATTGAATTAGGAAATGTTTCAAAATTAAATAAATCTGTTATACCAGCTGATTTTCCTACATAAGCAAAAAATGACATACCCAATATTAAATAAATAAACAGCAAGAAAAAGAAGAAGACCGATATTAAATAAAGCAGGCATTGAAACAGCTAATGCAAAAAGTAATGTTCGAGTACCTTTTGCACCTTTATAAAAATAAAAAATAAAAAATAAAATGTCTATAATTTATGTATTCGTGTAATATCAAACCTTTTACAAGACGTAAGATTCTTCCAACACGTGCAACACGAACAACACGTAATAATGTTGGATTAACCGCAAATTGTGCCATAATTTCTCCTAATGCTTGTCCTTGAAAAACAAATAAATTTTTCTTTTTTTTCTAATAAAAAATGATTCGAAAGAAAAACAACATAAGATACCAAAAATAGATGCAATTACAATAATAAAATCAAATACATTCCATGGAATAGTAAAATATTTGAAATTTAATGCAATTAATTTCATGAAACATTCAATAGCAAATCTAAATTAATATTAATAAATAACAAAGACAAGAGCGAATTTCATAAAACTTAAACATTAGAATTCTTCTTTTTTTTGTGTGCATTTGAAATTTTCAATTTTTTGAATATGAGTGATTTATTACTTTTTGGTACTATTAAAATTACTGCTTCTAACAATTGCATTTGACATTTCTTTTTTTGCCATGTAATTATTACTAACGACATATGCAAAAGTAATGAGACTGGTATTACAGTGATGTAAAGAAAAGTTTTGAGGAAAAAATTCTATTAGCAGTATATCCTCATTAGTTAAATGATTATATTATATAACTGCATCGAGTACTCAACCGAAATTCATATATGATAAATTGTATTCTGTTTTTAATGATCAGACTTCATCTTAAAATACAATTATTAAATAAATGATCAAAATCGATTTGTGAAAGTCGAGAAGAAATCGAAGATCAACCACGATTTGGCCGATCTGTAATCGAGACAACATCGAAAACATAATATTGAATAGTTTCGATATCTTATTGATGGTATACAAGTAGAAATCGTTATGAATCATGGTATCATTGAACGAATCATTTCTGACTATTCGAAATTGAAAAAAGCAAATTATTGCCTGCTTGGATACCTAGCTTGCTGATTGATAACGAACAAGTTCAAATATGTCAAGAAAATTTGATGAAATAATAACAAGAAACATGAAGATGATGAGATGTAGTGGTAGGTGACGAGTCAAAGCTATACCAGAAAACAGATTGGTGGAAAATTGTCGAACACTCCTTAGATACCAATCAATGGAACTCAACCTAGTGTATGCTCTAAGTATTTCTCTGTCGCTACCAGAGATATTCACAGGGCGCTTTTTCTAACCTGTTCTGCCCTGCTGGACAGGGCAGGGAAAGGCACATAGAACATCTCAATTCAATATATTTGTATGGTTGAGGCGAGATGGGTAAATATAGTTTCTTCTCATGTTAGAGCAGATTTTTTTTGTATATTTCTTATAGTTCTACAACAACACTAAAACCGAGCAGAATAATAAAAGCTTTTGTAAATAAAATGGAATTTCGCCACCTGAATTTCGACAAATTGTCCGATTTCCAGCGGATTTTTCACAATAAGATGAATTTCAAAATTTCGACGGGAAAATGGACAAAATGTCGAATTTATAGAGTATCATCGATGTTCTCGCTTCAATTCATTGTGGCTCAGTCATAAACTGGAATTTCGAAAATCCTATTTATTGTCAAAATTCTGGCGAAAGTCGAACAAATTGTCGAAATTACATAAAACTGCTTTTGTACCCTATCAACAAAGGTTCATAAACTTGAAAGAGTTTATTATATGTTACGATTTCATATATCTCTGATAACTGTTTCTGAAAATCAAATACCGTTTGGAATGTGAATGTGAGATGCGAGTGAGGGTGCGAGAGCGGTTGTGATCCCGAAAATGAAAGTTTAGAGAATACTCACAGATCTACACACAACTACACCGACACTAAAACCAACAGGGGCGCCAACAGCCACACACGATATCCACGCCCATAAAACATCCATACTGATCCGCATCAAACACCATGCAACCACACAGACTGCTAACGGTATTTCTGTTACTTCTCTATTAGATCAAATTTTCAAAGTAAATGAACACATTCCTTTTTTAAATTGAAACGTTCATCTAAAATCTGCAGAATACGAAGATCTTGTCCTACCCTGCCCTAAGGGCATCTCTGGATCAGACTGATGAATATTCATATTTTTCTAACACATTGCAAAGTGTATCCTTGATTATATGTTTACATTATAACAAATAAATTATTAATATAATCAAGAACAAGATGATAAGTACGACTTTGATTATGATGTTCAAAACACATACAAACCATATTAAGAAAAATACATATCATTATAAATATATCAAATTTTTGATTTGTTGTTACATCAAAAAGAAATCGTCCAAGAGCAAACTAAAATAAACAAAAATTTCATATATATTCATCTGTTTGAAAAATTTACTCTCGGTCTTGGTAATGCTTTAGTCGGTTTTTTCCCACCCATTTGTTCCATAGCATTATAATCTTTTTTTTGATCTTCTGTCATAAACATGTCTATTGCACCATCACCTCCTGACTAAAATTAAAAACAAAACAACAAAACAATCAACATCTTACTATTTTGTTTTATATTATTTTATGAATAAAAAAAAAACTTAACATTCGTTTTTATTGATTAAAATTATCAATAACAACACCAATAAATAAATTGAGAGTAAAAAATGAACCAAATATAATAAAGAAAACAAAATAAATAAGAATATAAATATTAGTTTCATATTCTGGTTGAACATCCATCTAAAAATTGTTTTATAAAAAACAATATTGATGTCAAAAAAATTTATAGAAATAATTATATACTTCTTTGGCATCAGTTGCATCAACCATTATTTCAATCCAACCTTTGAAAGTTGCCTATTTGAAAAAAAAAAACAAAAACAAAAAACAAAAATTTAATTATTCTCAAGCTAAACTGCTAAAACAGTTATTAGCCCAATCACTGAGGAATTCAGATGTGAAATACGATTAGAGATGTGCATGATCAACTTTTAGTTCCCGTCTCGGTCACCGAGACCAGAACCACGGGAAAAAAGTCATTCCAACTGGAACTAAAGATAACAGACGGGTGGATATTTTTTGAATAACTTTTGATAGGAACAAGATAGAAACCTGCGGTTTTCACCGTTGGAAAGAGGCTGATCCAGTGCATCGATTTATATAAAATTGTTGAGATTTATTTCATAAATAAGTAGTGATCCATAGTCATCTTGAAAGGGTAGATTGTTGCCCTATGAAGATAGAACTAATCTTAAACTTTGAGGAGTGGACTAGAATCGCCAGTTGACTAGGGGTGGCACTTTAACTTTATTTTAAAGTTAAAGTTTAAAGTGACCCTACTTTAAACTTTAATTTTAAATTTTTTTTTAAAGTTAAAATCTAGGGGTAGGAAGTTACCACTACCAGTAACTGGTACCCTTGGGTCCTCAAGTCCTACTCTAGGGAGTACTCTACGCTCCTCAACTCCTGCTATACTAGTACTTGCCCAGATAATATGAAAAAATAGGCCTCCTAAAATCTGATTGGTCAAAAAATGGACCAATCAGATCGTGAGATTCTATTTCTCGGTAATATATAGGGTGGAGCCCCATACATATACCCCTCATTCGATAGAGCACCCTCGATAACCCTAGGATCGGCCCGAACATGACTAGTAGTTGTCCAGACAATAAGAAAGACAAGGGCTCCTGAAATCCGATTGGTCAAAAAATGGACCAATCAGATTTTAGGAGGTCTATTTTTTTCATATTATCTGGGCAAGTACTAGTATAGCAGGAGTTGAGGAGCGAAGGGTACTCCCTAGAGTAGGACTTGAGGACCCAAGGGTACCGGATACTGGTAGTGGTAGCTTCCTACCCCTAGACTTTAACTTTAAAAAAAATTTAAAATTAAAGCTTAAAGTAGGGTCACTTTAACTTTAAAGTTTAAAGTTGTGATATAGTAGGGTGTGGGTGTGAGTGTGGGTGTGGGTTGAACGGAATACTAACACACACACCCACACCCACACCCTTATACCCACACCCACACCCATACCCACACCCACACCCACATCCACACCCTTTATTGACTCTGCACGAGGTCGAAAATTTCGAACCAATTGATATGTTGAATGATTCTCCTTTCTAATTTAATCGTATTCGATAATCAGTAAAAAAAGCCCAAACAAAAGCACATAAAGCGAGCATAATAATTGCGGCATAGGAACATTCTTTATGCCATGACGAAACATGTTCATCACGAATTGAAGTGATACTTCGTCGATTACTGGCATTATCATGTGGATGACCATCCGAACAGATTGATTGAGTATCGAGTTCATCGGGTTTTTCCAAACCACAAATCCAAGCAAAGGCAGTTTTTAGATAAAA